CAGAGGCAGGGGACCAGACTCTGCAGAACAACTCGAGTCACCATCTACCTGGGGTGGAGCGGAGGCTGCTTTCCAGGAGGGGTGGGCAATGCAAAGAGGAATATGTAGCCCCTACCTCCCCTTACAGTCAGGTGGGGGACCCTCCTCCTCGGTTGCCCAGGCTGGTGGGTTTCTCATCTATCTTATATCTTGCAGCATCTTCCCAGCCCTTCTCTTGCCCCAGGGTTCCTGTCTCTGCAGAAGGAAAACCAAACCTCTGGCAGAGGTTAACTTATTTGCCCAAAGTCATGTAAGTTGCAAGCCAGCATCTGAACCCATATTATATTGCTTGACTTAAAGGCTTTAGGGGGTCTTGCTAGAGAATCCAGAGGTACCTTTTTGTAAAAATAGACTTTGTTTTTAAGAGCAATTTTAGGCTCACAGCAAAACTGAGCAGAAGGTAAGAGATTTCCAATGGATTGCTTTCAGTTTTAATAGCAATCCCTCTTTTACTCGTTAAACAGCTAATGCTTTCCAAAGCACTCTCCTATCTGAATTGTTATCCGATCCTCCTAACAACCCTATGGGTTTGGTAAGTCAAGGATGAATGACCCGTTTTATAGATGAGAACACCAGAGTCCAGAGAGGGCAAGTAGATTATTCCATATTACACAGCATATTGATGCCAGAGCTAGACTGCCAACCCCAGCCTCCTGAATTCTTGTGAGGGCTCCAACTCCAAACCATTGACTTATGCATACCAGGGGGGTTCCAGAAGGCTTGGGAGGCTGCTTGAAGGAGTTCTCTCACCTATTTAGAGAAAAATGCCAACTAAAATCAGGCATTCTAATGTGGACCAAGGGTTCTACACCATAACCCTAGCTCCTTCCTACCTGGCAACTCCTAAACGTGGCTCCAGTCCCCTGAAACGGTCTGTGTTTCATTGAAAGCCTTGCTCTCCACCACCCCACCCCCTATACTGACAGGTAAAGAAATACTCAGAAACTTAACTACAGTCAGTTTAATTATGTGCTTGAAACCGTGCTGAGCAGTCAGGATCCCATTGGGGCCTCACCACAACCTTAGGTGTCAGGTCTTCATTGTCCACTGTTTATTGATGCAGAAGCTGGTGCTCAGGAAGGTTAGGCAACAGGCCAAGGTCACACAGGTAGCTAGCAGTGCAGCCAGAATTTGACTTGAAGGCAGGCTGCCTGGTGGTGGTGACGTGCTCTCTGCTCCCATAGAATGTGGAATGGTAGCTCCAGGAGGCATCTGAGGGCAGATCCTTTTGCTCTTGGCTGTGCATTTTATCCTCAGTTGAGGTTATGGCTAGACCTATTTTTTTGGCACTGCAAAAAAGCAGGCTCAGAGGATCTGAGTTAAGGACTTAGAAATCCTTGGCCCTGAGGAGTGGCTCAGTGTCCCCAGCATTGCCTAGTTTCTCAGCTTTGCGATCCTTCGGGGTGGCATGGCTGGGCTGCTGGCAATTGGCAGAAGATGTGGAGGAGAGAAAACCCAGTGACCTCCTTGCTCTGAATCTGCGCTCCTGCTGAAAATGAACATTTTGGCAGTTTCCTTGCCTTCCTGCTCAACTCGGGCTCCCTGAAGCTCTTGCCCCTGAAACACAGCCCAGCCACCTGGCCGGGCCTCCCCTCCAAAGGGCACGGATTTGGGAGGATGCTCCCAGGTGGGAGCTCCCACCTGCCACTCCGCTTCCTGAACTGCCACACCAGCAAGGGGCAGGCACACAGTTTCACCACCGCCAACATTTCGCAGCATCTTTCCTGTGCCAGGCACCACACAGGCTGGGGAAAAGGCAGGGAACAAACCCTTAGGACCCCCGCCCTCATGGAACCTGCTACCTAGTGGAGGAAATGGACAATAGGTCCTCACATGAATAAATCATGATTTCAGATAGTGATGAAAGCCTTGCACAGGATGAAACGAGATAATAGCATAGAGAGTGGCTGGCTGTGGGCATGCTGTTCAGCCAGGATGGTCAGGAGAGGTCTCTCTGAGGAGGTAACATCTCAGCAGACACCTGAATGAGGAGGCAGTTGTATCAGTTATTTATGGCCGTGTAACAAGCAAAAACTGTAATAAACCCCCAAACTAGTGCCTTACAACAACTAGAGACAACAACTCTTGATGGGGGAAGGGCGTGGCAAAGTATTTGGGGCCATCCTTAATCTGGCAAGACATCTTTGGGAAGAGTCTGTTGGGCAGGGGTAAGAGCAGGTGCAAAGGCCCTGAGGTAGAATGGGATCCAGAGACACGAGGAGAATCAAATATAGGAGCTCGGTTTGGCATCTTCCAAGCTCACTAGCGTTTGTGGACTTACCATCTGAAGGAAGGCACAGTGCTGAGCACCGCAGGTCACAGGAGAGCCTGAGGGGTGCAAATTTGCTGAGCTTATGGGCTGAAAATATGCTCACTGAGCAGGATGGTGACTAAGCTGGAAGGATTGTGGGCTGCAGGAAGGCCTGGAGGAGGTGGGATTCCAACAGGGCCTTGCAGGGCACATAGGATTTGGCTGAAGGAGGGGAAACTGTTGCTAGGACAAACACGG